CCCAGTTTCTGGAGCATACAATCTCTCTGAATCCAGTGAAAGTTGTGTGCCAGGTGGTTATACAAGATGTGAAGTGGTAGAAATAGATTTTTCCTCTACTTTCTCTGCTAGTTGAAGCCCAGCTTGACGTGTCATAGATTTGCTTTCTCCTGAGAGCACAAATCTGCAATGGTTCCTACCCAAGACCCAAAGACTCTGCACAGCTCACCAGGTCAGATCCTGCTCTGCATGGCATTAGCATAAACCTGCATTAACTCAAGTGCCTGAATAAATCTGGGCTTACCCTCATGTAAGAGAGACTGATACCTGACCCAGTGTGCTGAGTGAGATCCTTGGCCCGTGGCCAGTGGGTTGTAGGGAAGAATGAAAGACAGTTACCCTGGATTTACACTGGGTTATCTGAGATTAATACAGGCCTTAGTATTTACAGAGCACCTACTGTAACTGCAAAGAAAAAAATATGGCAAAGCCAACATGCCACAAGGCCTCTATATGTCTTTCTTCTTCTACAAATCTTTTCATTGGGCTAGGTAATATAATAGGTTAATGAGCTAAATTGTTGCCTGAGGGACAGAAGTTGCATATTTAAACTTCCACCCACGGAGCTGAAAATGCCCCTTGTGAGAGTCAGAGCTAACGATGGAGCTTGTGTGTCTGGCTTGTAATTCCACCTTTCTTGATACACCAGTGAAATGGAGGATAGTAAAAAAAATGAAACTGGGAGCCCTGAACCATTCTGTGCTGTTGGCTCCAAATACAGAACTTTAATCAGGAGAGAATTTGAGGCACATGAAATAGAGAAACAATTAAGTAAAACTGGAAATAAAGAAAAATCCACAAAAATCTTGTGGAGAATTGCTCCTGCTATAAAACCTTGCCTCCTCAATTATACCTCAGAAGAGTCCACAGGACAACTGGAGGAAAGGAACTCAGAAAATAAAGCATTGGCCTGTACAGAATTAAAGAACCTCCAAGGTCAAGTACAACCTTTGACCAAACACCCCCTTGCCCACTAAACCCTAGCACTGAATGCCACATCTGCTTGGTTTCTGAGCACTTCCAGGGATGGTGACTCTGCCACTTCCAGTGGGAAGTCTGTTTCCATGTTTAGCCACTCTTTCAGTGATGAATATTTTCCTAATATCCAACCTGAACCTCCCTCGTGCTATCTCTGGTTGTCTGGGAGAAGAGCCTGACCCTCACCTCAAGACAACCTGCTTTGAGGTGGCTGTGGAGAGTAATATGGTCTCCCTTGGGCCATCTTTTCCTGCCACATCACTGCTGGAGCAGAAGAGGAGAGAGCTGAGGACAGGGGGCAGCCTCATGAGGCTAAAAATCAGCCCCTGGTGCTGCTCACCTTCAAGCACAATTTCTGTGTCACCACCACAACTCACCAAGACCTCCAGCTCCCCACAACATCTGGGACATGTTTCCAGTGACTCCAACACCAAGTCCAAGTCCTGCAGCTGCTCCTTCCAGTGCAGCCTGGAGCAGGGAATGGTGTGGAGCTGGGCTGTGTGTCCTGCTCAGCTCCCCAGAGAGCCACACACATAAAGACATGCTCTGTTCTTGCAGGAATGTAATCCTCGACGTAAAGTTTGTCAGCAAAAATATAATTCACCATGAAAGAATGTACTACTGTCTTGCTAAAGCATCAAGAGGCACATTTGCAGCAGTCTGGGAGTCTGAGGCAAGTGCTGGGAAACTGAGCAACCTGTGTTTGTTCCTCTGACCAGCACAAGTACAACAAAAATGTAAAAATGCTTCCAGTGCTAGAACATTTAACAGTTCGGATTTCAAACAAGGAGGAATTATTTCAAAGTAGAACGAGTGTATGAGATGTTTGTTTCTTTAAGTGAATACAAACTGGATGTGGAATTTCCTCTTGGAAGAAACAACTGAATGGGAGATGGCTTGGACTCCCTTTTCTATATTGCATCATGTACAAAAACGGATGATATAATGAATTGCAATTCTGAAGAATCTAGGCAAAAATAAAATAATTATATCAGGTTAACACCTTCAGTGGGTCTTGCATTGTGTAGTTCACGTTTCTATTAAATGTGAAGACTGAAGCCAGGAACAGTTTAGTTATAAAACTTGTAACACCAATGATGAGTTAAATGCTAAAAATAATAATTACTTCCCTTTAAGATAATGAGTTTAAAAGAGAAGTGGCAGCAGTGCAGAGAAGCTGCAAGTTTAGTGGCAGCAATAAGAGAGGTGTAGTAACAGAACAACTCTCTCTTTAGAATTCCACTACAGTCTGTTAGTCCCAAGCACTGGGCTAACAAAGGCAAACTCAGAGCCATTTAAAATAACTACAAACCTGGACTTATGTGTTTGCAAAGTGAATTGGATCTATCAGTTCCTTGTGCAACACTTGAAACATGCTGCAAATATATTAAGAATATACAAACATGACAGCCAAGACTGTGTTGCTGAATCTGCTCAATTAGGTCCAAATGCTTTCCACAGCTACAGGACACAGCAAGGACCAGTTGCGAAAAACTGACAGAAAATGGGATAAAATCCCTCTTCTTTCAAGCATGGATGATGGCTACAGAGCTGTTGCTAAGGCCAGTGGATGAGGTTTGGCTCGTGGGTGCAGCTCTCAGATCAGCATGGCCTCGTCTCCAGCCCTCACCTCTTCTACATTGGAGCTGAGAACTTAAAATCACAATTTGTCTGGGGTAGGTGTGCAGATTTTACTGCTGGGAGCTTCTTAGGGAGCTGATCCATCTCCTCATGCACAGAGTCCATGTATTCTACAAATACTGCCACTGCTAACACAGAAATAACACTCTGTCATACCACCCAAACAGCCTGCTCTATTTACAAGTTGTATCTGGACCTGACTTTTCAAATGAGGTTTTCCCTCCCTCTTACATGACTTCCCGGCATCTTCAAAGAGGATCTTGGTTTGGGAAATTAAGGATCAGAGGCCAAGTCACCAGGCAAGCTGTTTGCACATAAAGCATCAAAGCCCATTATTTTAATCTGTGATAATTACCACTGTTAGTTAAATCGTGCTTCCCTGATGGTTCTCAGCAATAAGCAACAAATGCACAACACATTAATTGCACAAAGTTGTTGCTTGTTCTGAGATCAATTTGTATTAACAGGAAAAGTTTCCATCTTAGTCAGCACAAAGATCTCTCACAGTGACTTTTACAGGGCTGGGAATAAATGTTTTACAGTGGAATTTTGCCCTGGAAGGATGAATTTCAAAGAGTTCTCTATAATCTAATGGCTACAGACTTTGTGTTTCTCCTTAATGGAGGAACTGTTTTATGCCAGAGTTGCTGATAGCTGTAAATGCTCCCCTCTTAAGTCCAAGCCCTGTATTAAAGCTTCTGGATCCTCATGATGAAAATCCTTCACTTGGGATTTGTGAAGAACTGAATTCCACAGCAAACATTTCAGCTATCTGGGTTTCTGAAACAAAACATTTTCTTCTAAGAATTGTACCTACCCTTTTCTAGAAATCTCTACCCCTCTACTCAGAGAGTAAGAATCTAATTGTGTGACCTAAGTATCCGGTCAGAATTAACCAATATGTCTAGAATTTTAAATGCTCATTACAAGCCAAATCTAAGTCCAAGAACATCCTGCTGGACTCACACAGGGCAAAATTCCTGGGAAGCAGAGCACTGGCACAAGCTCCCTGCAGACAGAAGCAGGCCACATATGCAGCACACAAGCTTTTGTGCCCTCCTGCACAGGGATGATCCTGATCCTGAGTTAAGACTCACAAATAACAAGTGATTTTGCACTGATCCTGCCCTGCTCACATGCTGACATTAAACCCATCAAACACCACTGTTTACTGTGACCCATGTAAGGTTGCAGCCCTCCCAGCAGTGAGCCAACATCTTTATCAGATTGGAACTGTTCACACAACACTGAACTTTCAATCCATGTAATCGGTGAACACACAATTATTTCATATTCCTCCCTATCAAGAGAATCCTGGTCCTGTTTGAATGCCAAAATGTTTTAGTGTTCCACAAATAAATAGGTACGTAAATAAACAAATAAATAAAGTTATTTCACCTGTTAACACATGGGGACTGTTTCTTTTGGCCAGCTTGAATGGATTCTGAGTGCCAGGTTATGAATAAAATAATGTTCAATACTGTAAACATCTTGTGACATAAATTCCTGGCTCAGCATAAATACAGCCACTCTGTATGTGGCAGGTTCTTCCTGCATTCTCCAGCACTGACACCATTAAAATCATGTGTCTGTGACAGAGTATATAAATAATTGCAATTCCTAAAAAAAAAAAAGCAATCACAGATAAGCCAGTTTGCCCATCCTGGGCCTCTGCTCCACTGGATTTTGCTTGCTGGAGTTTGGGTTTTTAGAAAGCAAAGTGCAACTACTGTATCCCAGTGGTTTCTGCACATGCTGTACATTCCAGAACAAAAAGTAGGTTTTCTGTTTAAAGAACAGCACAGTTAGAAAGATAAGATAAAACCAAACTGGAATATAATATTGCTGGGAAATGTTAGTCCTTTAGGCAAACACGAAGTCAGTAATGTAAAGAGTGCTTTCTGAACAACACTGGCATGGGCTGAGTTTCTCACCCTGCCAGGCCTCCTTCCCAAGCAAAACCTTGTATTACTCTTACGATCAGAAGGCAAATACAGAGCAGACTCTGCCCTGGTTTAATCCACTGCATTCAGGAATAAATTCCACTGATGTCACCAGAGAAACAAAGTTCAGACAAGCCTAAGTGAAGGTGAACTCCAGCCCTGAGGAAGGGACTGATGGTTTTGACTCTGCCTTTAAACTCAAGCCTTTCTTTCACTTCAGCTGGTTGGAATGGGTCTAGGACTGGGCTATGTGTGTAGGTCCCAGTCTACCCTGAAAACCAGTTAAACCTTTGCTTCCTAAATATTTAAACTGCAAATTAATGCAGACAGCACATGGGAGATCAGCACACTGAACATCTTTGCTCTCAGAAAGGAAAAGCACAAAGTGTTTGCTGTTACCTTGGACCAGTCTCCTGTTTTCCACTCGTAACAGCCTGTGTGATCCTCACACTCTTCCTCTTCTCTCGGCCTGGTGGCTGCATCACATTTGCCTTGGGAGTTTGTGCATGTCACTGTTCTTTTCTGAATTCCCCTGCCACAGTCTGCTGAGCACTGAAAAAAACAGGGGTTTGGTTTTTGTTACATGGTGCTTAGAAATGATAGCTTTTATGTTGGTAACACAGCTCAGAGGAAAAGCTGGGGTTATGAACACTGAGGAAAATGATAATCCATAAGATTTTATCACAAAAATCTAAGCCACTCATAAATGAGTAATTTGAAAAGCATGATGACTGCTTGTGAAATACTTATGAAAAATGGCAATTCTCAAAATCAATCTTCTCTGGAAAATGTCAGCTGGCTTTTTGCTAGACTTGGTGCCATTAAATCTTGTGTTGAAGAGCTCCTCACTCATACTGAAGGACACACTGAGATTCACTACTCAGAACTGCCACATCCCTTGATGTATCAAGGGATACATCAAGGGTGATAAATGGTGGCGTTAAATGTGATTTTAAATCACAGTAGCACAAGACCACTGTTATAAACACATTTCTGTAGCACAGTTTGTGCATATCATGGCAAAGTCACAATTCTCACACGTTCTCATGTGAAACATGCACGTGTTCAGATTTTGATTTGCCATTGCTATCTTAATTCTGAAAAACTCCAAAAAACATTTAGTGAGTAAGCACAAATTATCCACAAATGTTTTTGGGCCTGGGCTCTATGGAATTAGCATCTAAGGAGCAGGGATATCTGGTCACTCATTTGTTATCCTTGCCAATTGTTGGAAATTCTTGTTTAATGAAGAATTTGTCTTGATTTTATTGGCTGTACGACATGGGAAAAGGACACTTGCACGAACTGAACCCTAATTTTTGTTTTCAATAATCAATTTGGTAGTAGAGCACCTGTTGTCACAGCCACCTGAGTCCTTGTCACCACTCCTGAGCACAGCCAGTCTGCCTGCTCCTCATTCTCATGCCACTGCAGTGGTTAAGAGTGAGAAATTGTCTTGCAGAGCCACTGGGGATAGGTGGGTGGAAAAATGATCTATGTACCAGCTGAGATAAAAACTAACCTCCTCTGGCATGTCAAGTTCTCCCCTTCAGGGGGCCAGCGGGGAAAAGACAGTTGATTTGACACTGAATAAATAGTGAAGATATGAGATATTCTGTGAGGTCTTTTGAACGTGTTCCAAGAAGCTTCTCCATCCAGGGGGTCTATGCTGGAAACAAGCATCAGCTTGATATAAATTACATCAAATGGACAAATCTCAGCATGCCTGTCTAACCGTCTTAAAAACACAATCCAGGCAGTTCTGACCTGCTGGCCTTGTTAAGGACATGAATGACAAGCGTTTATGAGCTGGCAAGCAAACAGACATGCCTTTAAATACTTCACAGCACTACAAAGTGACTTCTTGAAAATCTGGGAAACCTTCCACTTAATTTACTGTGTGCTGCTCACGGCGTGACCCCCTTACGGATGTAACATCTTTGTAAGGAGCACAATCTATAGTTCTGCTAAGACAGGGGGATGAATTCTTCCCAGATTTGCAAAATTCCACAAAAGGCTTTGCTGGACTGCTCAGAGCACAAGGCTTGCCAGAGATCCCAGGCTGGAGCTCCCTAAATGTTACCTTAAGCCATGAATTTGCCCTAGACTGGGTAGACTTTCCCAAATTACGGATCACTTTCCTCAGGCCCCAGGGTGGACTCCTCAGGGCTGTGCTTGTGCATCTCAAACTACAAAGATAAATATATAAAAATCTTTGGAATGGTCCAATTTACCCAAAGTAAATCAAGCTGAAGTGGGAGTATTTTTCACAGTAGGAGAAATCTCTAGGTGGGTTTTACAAGCAAGTCTGGGAAAAACACCAACTGTTTGTTCTTCCCACAGCCTTAAAGTCATTCACAGATTAATACCGCATATACTTTCCTAGACAAAACAGCATGAGCAAGAAGGTTTCCAACAGATCTTTGGTGGTCACATATAAATCACCCTCTTTAAGAGGTTTTTTTTCCTTTCCTCAAGTCATCTGTTTTCATGAAGAATTTCTTAATACACAGATTTTACAGAGAGTCCACAAATTAATATACACAGTTTCTATGTGTCCACTCGAGATCATTAAGTCTTATTTTATTAAATTACTTTGTCAGATCCCATGAGGCTTTGCAAAGGAGCAACACAACTTTGCAATTAAGACACAATGCCTTTATCTGAAGAAAATCCATATTTTTTTCCACTCCAGTTCTCTAACAGTAGACATATTCACCTTCTCCTGACAGTCTCTATTTTTATCATTAAAAATGGGTTGAGCAGTACTTTGTCCAAAACAATCTCAAGTGTTTGGCAATACAAGGGGAACTTAATTTTTTCCACAATGAAGATTGCATTGGAATTTGCTGTGAAAACACACATTTTTGACCAGGGACCAGACATCAGTGCGGTCAACAGTGTTGTATAAGCAAGAAGTTAAAAAAAAATAGATCAGAAAATTGATTTATTAAATGATACAATTGCAGTGATACTTATTCCTCAATATCAGATTAAAATGCTAAGGAATAAAGTGATTACCACTGAAGAAAGTCCTAGGTGTGAGAAGGGGTCACACTGGCAGAGCATCAAATGTGTCCTGGAGTTAATTGTGTTTCATAACAGCAGAAATGGGCCAGAATAACAATTTTAAAAGTGCAAGTGCACAGTTACAGACCCAACAAATGTAAATAAATGTATTTAAGGAAAAGCAAACCAGCTATTGAAAACATTATCTAAAAATGCTATGTATTTGCAAAGGAGTTACATGGTCATAGATATGAAAGATTTCCACTGATCTGTAATTTGATTTACTCTGTTCCATAAAAGGGAGACAGAAGTACCTGGGATTGTTAACAAAAGACTCAAGTAAAAAATCCACATGTAAACCAGGCAGGAATTGCCTAATACCCTAATCTCAGCTATAAACAGTTCAGCTGGTTTAGCTATAAGAAATAAAGAGGGCATCATCTGAAAGGGGAATGTCTACAACACACAAAAGACCTATCAGACAACTTACTAAAACCTTGGTGTGTTTCTGCACATCTTTTGTAACAAAATAACTCAGAAAGATCACGAATCTCATGCACCAGTGAATGGATCCAGCACCCCACTGAAAGGGAACACTGCTCTCACTTAACCATCACCTCTCTTGCCAAACTAAGATTTCCTGTCCAGGAGGTGCACAATGAAATCCCATTGTGTTTGTGAGAAGACAGTTTCCCTCAGGATCCCTTCTATCCTGAGCTTCTGTGACTTTTAAGCACATTTCAACCAATAATATTTAGCAAAAGCTCTTCGACAATGTTTTAAACAGGAGCTCCCTGTTCCAAATAAAGGTGAATAATGAGGAGTCCTTCCCACAGGAAGGGTTGTTGCCAGACAGCCAGGCTGGAATGAGGCTGGCAGAGCTGCAACCCTGCACCCAGAGTGAAAGGAGCTCATCACTGAGGTAGCCCAGCAAATACAGTATCAAAGTGAACATGAGCATCCTGTAAGGAATGTTACAGGGTACAAAGTTGCTCTGTCCTGGTCTTGAACTGCAGGCACACTCCCAGATCACTCTGCTCCTAAACAAAACACGGGGTAACTGGCTCAATCTCCCATTATTTACATCAGAAATGCATTCATAACACTTGGGAAAAAAATTCTTAACTCTGCAACTACTCTGAGATGCACCTTTTATACAAAATATAGGCAGCTTTTTCTTGTTCCTGGAATTACACAAAAGAAGGCTGGATAGGACCCAAAGACTGTACATTCTCTGTAACATGCAGACGCCTGATAAGCCTGGTATTTCTCATACCACATTTAAATGGAGCCAGAAGCCCTGGGTTACTGCACTTCTGGCCTCAGGTCAATGAAAAGTTTTTCCTTCTTGGTCAGAGTTTTCAGATAGAAAGATACAGTCACTAGAGCACATCTGAACCCTGCCTTACTGACTCATCTGGTCTGGAAACCAAATCTCAGCTCCTCACTGCTCATCTCAACAGATGAGAGTCCTGCCCAGCAGTCCAGTGCTCTGAGGATGCTGAGCATGAGAACCATGGATTAAGTCCAGTGTATCTGGAGTTCTGAGGAGTCTGGCTCCTTTCTGGAGTGAAGTTCCTACCTTTGACCACTCTGATGCTTCCCAGATGGACAGGCAGTCCCGTCCCTCACAGCTCTGCACCATGGCTGGTTTGTTGCCCAGGCAGTAGAGATCCCTGGTGTTGACATAGGTGCCATTCTGCAGCTGATAAACACAAGTGACCTCCCGGTGCTGCACACCCTTCTCACAAGTGGCAGAGCAGGGGCTCCAGTGGCCAGTCACCCACCTGGGAAGGAGCCAGAGGATAAATGTTAACAAACTGTATAAAATATTAAGAGCAATTATAAAATAGCAATTGAATAAAATATTATGCTTCACTTAAAACCAGTGAGAAATGGACAGCTCTTCCTGGATTTGTGGGTGCTTTGATGGTGCTGTGCTGTTGTCACCCTGAGCTCACTGATCCCCTCTGGGAGCTGAAGTGTGTACAGCAGGAGCTGTCAGTATGCAAGTGAATATTCCCTCCTGACTCCACGCCTGGCAAAACCCCAAACTCTGCATCACTCCCTTTAACCCCACTCTCTGCAGTGGGGCTGCTTTTTTCCCTCAGATAAAGACAGTCTTTTCTGCAGACCATCCTGCAAGACCATTCCCTGCAAGGCAAAGGAGGCATCCTCCCCTCTCTGCATTCCAGCTCCACTGACTCCAGCAAGTGCTGGAAGCACCAGAGCGCAGCTACAAGGCACTGAATAAAGTGTCTGAGAAGGATCTGAAGGAGGAGGGATGGAGGGAAGGACATTTTTTTCTAAAAGAAAAGCAACATTGATCTTTAGCTTCCTGCAATCTGTCAGTGAGGAGCATGTTCTCTGTAATTACAGGCATTCCTGGATGGAGTGAGGGACTGGAGCAATAACTGTGCAGCCATTGAGCACCAGAAGGTTCTCATGCCTTTCTCACCAGGCAATTGACCTTCTGGCCTGTTATTCAGGACTGTCATCTAGATTAGTATCCCTACACCATTACACCATGAATCTCTTACTTGTCACCCAATCCTGTGATGTCTATTATGGTAAGTGGCCCAAACAAGACTTCCCAAAAACAGGTCTGCTGAGAAATACTATTTCATTCTGCTGGAGGCTCCTATAGTCTAGATAGAGCAATTTATTCACCACATTTCTTTTGAGCCTGCTGTGTGTTACTTCTCTGAAATTAATTAAACAACTGTTTCCCATCTTCCTGTTCCTGAAGGGAGGAAAATCAGTTCAGCACCATTTGTAGAAACATCTTCACCTGCTGCAATTGTCATGAATTTATTTGTAAATTCTGTGACTGGCATGACAGCACTGATGACTGCACTGACATTGAAGGCAGAAGCCATTTGGTTTGAGCAGGACTGGGCAGACTGGCTGCCTGTCTTTTGTGGAACAGGGCCCTGCTCAAATGTTCCTGTGCATTAAAGCAGTTGACTGACACATCTGTGAATTTCTGTTGGCTAAAACGGCTGGCGAGACACCAAACCTGTTTCTCCAGACTGCAGTTCTGGTGCATCTCTGCAGCCTAGGGCTCGGTATTTCTCTTATGGAATGGGAAAATGTCAGCTGGGAAATTGAATACTAGGGCTGAAAGACTGACAAAAATAGCCCTGAAGTGCAGAAATCAATGTTCACTAAAATTAATAACCAGGCCCCCTTGGTATCAGCTGGGCTCTGCCCTGTTGGAGCAAACATGAGGGAATTATCACCTGGGGGAAGGAACCCTTTGACAAAGGCCTGAAGGGATGAAATGACTGTGCTTTATGAGCTGAATGTTAGTCACAAGGCTGGGGAAGGGTTCTGTCCAGGCTCCACTCAGCTAATATTCACTTCAGCACTGTGCTCTCACTGTGATCTACAGCTACTGGCAAAAGAAAAAGAGAAAGGGGCTGAAAGCAAAGGAGAAAGATAAAAATACATTCTTGGCAGAAGCTGCCTGTGAGCCTGCATCTAGGATGGGCAGCACACAGCATGCCAGCTATTTCCAAGATGCCTTAAGAAGAAAGGTAATGGCTTTCCTTTTAGGAAGGAAAATTCCTTTATATCTTTTTTGTTTGTTTGTTTGTTGCCCTTGTGGAGGGGAGAAATCACCTGATTTCCACCTTGTTTGCTGGTCTCTATTCAGTACCAGTACAGGCATGACAAGAGCGTAACTAGAAAATCAGCACAGAAGAAACAAGTATTATCGTCATGAGAAGAATGATTGCACAGGGAACAAGCTTAAACCCAGGGTACCAATACAAAGATGTGCCTGTGGTGAAAACAATCTCCAGCTTTTTCCTTGGAGAGGTCAGCCTCAGCCACCACCCACTACATCCACTCCTGATCCCAACCCTGTGGTTACAAATCAGGTGAGGCAATGCTGTAAGGGATCTCTGAAACCTCACAGCCCACTCTGCCCTGCCTGTGACAGTCAAAATACTTAGAAATTAAAGGCTATTTTAAAATGGTGGTTTTATTTTTACATCCAGGAGACAAGTGACATTAAATGTCTGAACAATACTAATATGTAAAGTAGATTATTTTCAAAAGCACCAAGGAGATGATCACTTTGACCTCTAAACTTCATCTTCTTAGTGAAATCTATGCTTGAATCAATGGCTTGTAAAAACAATCTGGCAAACAAGTAAAGGTGAGTCCCACATACTGTCCTGGCAGTGCTGTGAACCCCCACAGTCCCCTCATATTCTCCTTCACAGGCAGCTGAAAATATTGTTTCAGTGCCTGTAACACACAGGAACTGTAACAATGTTTCAACAATGTTCACAACCAGAGTGGCAAGACAATGGATTTATGGATAAAGTGATTGAAGAATAAAATTTTTGCCAGTTTCAAATTTTTGGAAGGAATTTGAAGTAAGATATTAGCAGAATTACTATCTGCAAGTAATATACACACAGGAGAGAAAAATGTGATGTGCAAATGGTGTCACATTATGGTAACTATTAAATTGCACCCCAGGTAGATTTTTGTCTCTACACTGTCATTACACCTTCTGAACACACCTGAGTGGGTTTAACAACAAGACCTACTTAGAGGGTGATTTTTTTAAAGAAAGGGTAGGTATTTTTCTTATGACAATGTCAAAAATAACTCCAGTGTTCTAACTCCAAACCCCAGGCTGGCTCTGTATTATTGACTAAGCCAATTAACTGCTGTACACTAAGCCCTGTGTATACCATATAAAGCATTTGGCTTCCAGTTACACTTTAAGCCTGTAAACTGATCTTAGGGATTGCTTGACACCAGAGTTCTTTTCAATTTGGTCTTTCCCTCCCAGGTTATAACCTATCTTCTGGGACCATGAGAATTCTCCAGCTGGGGTCTCAGGAGAGCCTCTCATTTTGCCAACAAGCACTGATTTACGTGACAAACACACTCATCTTTCTCACAACCACAGGGATGGCTTTATCCCAGGTATTATTTTTTGTAATCTTACCTCTACAGAAGATTCAAGAGCTGAGTGATCCTTGCTGGTGGTTAGATTCAGGAAGAAAATGATGAGCTTTTAAGCAATGATTTTACCCTAGTCAGTGGCTGTCTTTCTAGCTAAAATATGCCCAGAAGGGTGTGATTTTTAAAAGCTTCAAAAAGCTGGGATGGGCAGGACATGCAATCTGAGAGGGCTCCTCTAAATCTTTGTCTTCTGAGTCTTCCTCAACCTCTGACCTCTCAGTATCTCTTCTGAGGAATTGGGAGCTCTTCCTCTAATCTGCTTTGGCAACACTCATCTGGAAGGCCCCTGGAGCAATCTTGAGATATCTTTTGGAGATTCAGTTCATCATTTGATCTTTCTATGGTCTGGATTAGTCATTAACCTTGAATTATCTACTCTACTTACTTGCCTAGACTCCCACATTTTCTAGGAAAAAAAATGGTGTGCAGCACAATGAACATAAACCCAGGGGAGATGTATGTCTGCAAATGAGGGCTTGTAGCTAAAGATTTGGGAAAAAAAAATATTAGGAAGATAAAACGGATCAAGGCTGAAGGATGGGGGTGAGGGAGTGCAATCAAAAGACATGAGGTCACTTTTCTGGGATTTGCAGCCTCTTATAGCATAAAGCCATTACATCTTCTGGGGTAAATACTGCAGTCCATTAAATTTCCCCTGGTTGTTTCTGCCCTGAGCCCTGCAAAAGAACAGTGTGCTCTTCCCTTAACTAAATATCCATGCCATGTTCACACATTCTCTCACTACCTACAAGGTGCTTTTGTTGCCTTCCCAATGCTACAAGTGACATTAATTTCCCTGCTTCCACAGTAATAGCTCAGATATGACAAAAGACATGTTTGCAGTAACACCTTTTTTTTATTATTAAACCTGTTTTTTTCAGAGCTGGCTCTTCCCTACAAGCAATTTAGAGCCTGTACTACTGCTGAGTTAAGCATCAGAGGACACTTCCTACAAAACACGTCTGAAAAAGTTCTGTGACAGAAACATATCTAAAGCCTGTAATCTGAGGGTTCTAATAGATTTTATTGAAAACCTTTTGGTTTAATGCACAGGTGAGGATAACTCCGTGCCCAGTTAGCACTGGTTGTTTTTAGCACCATTTTGTGATGCAAAATCATGGCAAAATCACTCTTAGTCTTCTGAGGCACCTAGATGAAACCGTGGCTCTACTGATTTAGGCAAAAATTCAGACCAGCTTTCAGCAGGGCCAGGATTTTACATTGGATAATTTTAGCAAGGAGAATTGGAAAAGATTTCTGAGAATCAGTCATGTGGAACTGACAGATATACTTTGCTTACAGCTGTCAAACCAAGCTCATGCTTGACTATGTAGAAGCAAAGTCTCTTTACAAATGGAATTGTGTTTTCCATGAAACACACACACACCCTGCTGTGGACTGTCCTCTCCTGAAGCCCTCCACCATCTCTCTGCTGCACTGGGCTCAAAGCAATCAGGTGAATCTTGTCTTTTGAGAACAGGTTGTGCCACACCCAGGCACTAGAAGGCTTTTTTAAAAATTTTTTTGAGAAAAGTACAAGGAATCTAGTAGAATAATACAGCTGCTGATGTTGAAAGTAGGACTCCAAGACTAACATTCCTGTCTGATTGCCTTTATAAACAGTGCTCAGTAATTTTCCAGTACAGTAGTCATTCTGCTAACAGACTTGCCAACTTTCACTCACACAGGTTTCTTTTTTTTCTAGTGATTATCATTTTGACAGTTTTTTCGTGTTTTTTTTTTCAATTTCTCACCAATAAAATCAGCTACGGAACAATGTTTTATAATTTACATACAC